GCTGATGATGGAGTTCTGCTGAGGCTCCGAGCGCTGCAGTAACATGGCTTCTCTGAATCACATTCAGCCAGTCAGGACATGATGAAAGAATGCAGGGTATAAACCCCTTGAGGGCCTGTGCATCACCATCTAGAAAGGTTCTTGAAAGGGTAAGAACATTTTAAGTTTGATCAATCGGAGTCTGAGGAATAGGCTGTAGGGTTGAGGATTAAAGACAAGTTGAGGATTAAAAACTTTTGGAACTTGCAACAGTGAGTTACTAAGGAAGTTCCCAGGAGAAAGAGAGAGAGACAGAAAAGAGAGAGAGAGGCCTTTCAATCAGATGTCAATCAGCTTTGGTCAGAATTCAGTCAAAATACATTTGATGATCATCAGCCGGTATTACCTAGTCCTGATGCAGAACTGTGACACACAGAGCTTTTTTTTAGAGACCAAGTGCCCGCCAAAGTAGTTTTGGGTACATATCAAGAGGAAATGAAGGCTGGTATTGTGGACTTCAAAATTAGAGCAACTTTTCCATGGATACTTCATTCAAAGAGGTGGTGGTTCTGTTTTCCCAGCCTGAAGGGACTTTTGCTTTTAAAATGTGTGAAACAGTGTTGCAGCTGGGTTTTCGTCTCTCTCATCACTGTTATTTTTCATAGATGCTAAGAAGCTGTTGCATCAGTATGGTTATTGGAATTTAGATTGTGTTTGTAAAGGGGCCAGTCCAATTTAATGGTAGGGCCCTGGAGCAAGTACAGAAGGATAAGTAAAGGAGCCTGGCTAAGAATTTCTGAACTCAGAACAGATTCTAAGAGTTATTTCTGGTCTTCTGGCTTTTGCCCTACCCTCCGGAAATTTACAGAACCCTGCCATGAAATCTGATAAAATAAACAGTCGGACTTTTGAGAACCACTATTTATGGGCTCTGCCCAGCATGAGCAGACCACAGTGAGAACTGCCCTATGTCAAGTCTGTGGAAGAAGAGGGCCTCTTTCCTGGCTGGTGGGGGTGGGGCTGGGGCTGGGGTTGTGCTGGCCATGAGGACAGGGAGTGGTGGCAAGGGAGAGGGTCAGCCTCAGTGGAAGACTCAGGTCCTCAGAGTTGGCGTTGCATTCAGCATGAAGCCCATTTTCCATTTTCCTCTCTGGGTTACAGAGAGGAGGCTTTGTGCAGAGCAGGTCTTTGTACATCCACTAAGAATGACGAGGACAGCTGGGTTGCTTGGTGAGACACAAAGCAGGAAAGCAGGAGACAAAAGCAGGTGGGAGGAATGAAGGAGGGAGCATTGGGTAAGGCGGGCGGCTGAGTCTAGTTTATTCCTCACTTTGTGCCCGTCCCATCCATGTCTCGCCGGGACCTTACACCCCCTTATGTTCTGTGGTCAGTGCTCACTCATAACAGGAGCTGGCTGGCTTGCCCTGCACAACAAGATTTGAAGGGCCTGTTAGTGAGGGGCTTCTGTTTCCGGATCTGTTTTCTGGGTAAAGAGGTGCGGATACCTGCATAGCTAGAATGTCACCTTAGATACCATCATTTCCTCTTCCCGAGAAAACCCAATGCACTCCTGGAACCTGTGTGCCAACTGCTGCCATGTGGGCTCTCATAGGTTTTATGCCAAAAATAAAATACAGTTAAAGCATACTGTTAACAGAGCTACTTCACCAGGACATAAAAACACTGCTATGGAAAGTCAGGGAAAAAAAAAAGATACTTCTGAATTGAAATTAAGGTGCACACTCATTTATAAACAGGAAAGACTGAAAATTTTCCATTTTAGAGCTCATCTAGAAATACCAGCTTTCCTCCTTCTCCTTGGATGGAAAACTTAAACTCCCCTCCTGTGTGGTGCTTCTTAACAGTTTATGATTCCCAGTTCAGGCTCTTTCTCTAACTCTCAGTAGAAGAAGAAAGTAGTTTAGAGCTATTCTGGCATATAGGTCTTTCTGGTCAAACCAGTGATACAGGTCACAGCCGGTCCAGTAGGAACCCAAGTTCGCCCAACCTGGGTTCTGCATCTGGGCACAGTATCCAGCCAAATGGTGCTTTCATAGACCCTCTCCCCAGACCAGTTCTCTTAAGCAGTCTTTCTTCTGAAACTTTGCTTATTTCTAGTAGAGGGTAAAAGAAGGGACATAGATTTCTGTCCAGAAATAATAGCTTCCTGTCCTTTGTAAAGGCCAACTTCAGACCTGGCAAAGACGCCTCCTTGGGAGGCAGTTACCTATGAAAGCTGGGTGACAGGGTTTGAAACTGACAAAGGAATGCGGACTTGGCTTTTCTCCAGAAAGGTGGCTTTTTGCCCGCGCACCTTCAGTTCCATTAATCAGGAATAGTCCTTTAAAAAACAAAACCTCCACAAACCTCCTGTTCCATGCCCCAGGCAGTCTTCCTGTGCCAAGTAATCTGTGATGGCTAGTCAGGCGTTCTGGTACTTTTCCCCTTGAACCCGGGTTATGCGGCTTCTTGGAACCTCTGTAAGAGGTTTGTTTAGGCTGACAGAGCTCTCAAAATTTTAGCCCTGCCCTTTCTCTCCTGAAGTTTCCATCAGTGTCTCGTCTTCCCGGTCCCTTCTTCAGAGGATCACTTTGCCTGGGAGAAGTACAGGCAGAGGTGTTTTCCTTGACAGTCTGGAGAGATTGTAACATGCATAGTGGTTCCTGGATGTGGGGAAAGGAAGCCAAAATATTACCCACCAGTTTTCCTACGTGCAGTGTGTGCCCTTACTCTTCAGAGCTGCCCTTTGCTCTCTGCCATGTTACTCACTTGAAGATCTCACAGCCCTTCGTGACTGTTAGTCATTTTCAGGAACTGAAATACAATGGAGATTCTTGTTTCTATTTATAGACAGGTAAACTGAGATGAAAGGAAAATTAGCCTTGGAATTGAATCTTGTTGGTTTTTTATTTCCATCTTTAAATCAAACTGTATCCCCCCCCACCTCCAGTTAAAACTAAAAGCTATAGCCTAGCACAGGAAACTATATTCAGTATCTTGTAGTAGCTTATGGTGGAGAAGAATATGAAAACAAATATATGTATATTCATGCATGACTGAATCATTGCAGTGTACACCAGAAATTAACAGAACATTATAAACTGACTACACTTCAATTTAAAAAAGAGAAAAAGAAAAAATATCTATAGCCACTTAATGAAAAAAATTCACATGCAATCTTGTACTGGGTTAAAAATGCAATTGTTATAGTCATTGTAACATGTTTGTAACTTACTGTGTTTAGAATTTTAAAACTGAGTGTGTTGGAAAAAAAGGTTCCCACCCAGCTTTCTCTTACGCAGTTAAACTTAGTGCAAGTCACTGTTTTAAGGAGCTTTGTGTGTTTGGATTGACAATTGCTTAATAAACAATTGAAAAAGTTAAGCATAACCTACAAGTCATTTAGTGCCATGAGTCACTCCCTGACAAGCCAATAAGACAAGAGAAGCCGGTTGCAAAACAATTACTAGCCCAGCCTGAGGGACCCTGGAAATATATTACAGGTATCCTTAGGAAAACAAAGCAGCAGTGTTTTACCGCGCTGCAGAGAACACGCGAAGATTGCTAACCAAACAAAATTACCTGACTGACAATGCCAATTTTTACATTTGTTTCAGAACACGGGACGCTCAAACCACCTGAGGTAAGATTAACATTTAATTTTTTTATATAGCTTTTGCATTTCAGATTGTTTGCTAACTTAAGCAGTGTCAAACTTCTAGAAAGTTAAATGTGCCTTTTAAAATGGATAGAAATAAAGTGAACAGTCAAGTTCTCAAGACTGAAATGCACAGGTTAAATCAGAAGAATTTTTATAGCCACCATCTGAAGACCTTAGGTAAAGGAAAAATGGGAATATTTAATCAAAGACTGTGTGCGAAATGGGACATTCTGAGTCTTAGGTACTCTTTTATTCAGGTAAATTTCAGATAAATATTGTAGCAATGTTGTGGCACTAATATTGGGGTACGTTTTCCTAGTTCCCAGCTACAGAATTCCGCAAACCCTGAGGCTTGTAAGACTTAATGCATCTGAAGTCATTCCCTTGGAATGAAGAGCTTTGATTCAGTTAGGACAGAAAGAAACGTGGTCCTCATCCCAGGAGGTCGATAGACCTGTCCCCCGTTCCCTGTCGTGAAATGTATCACTGCCCAACATTCCTTAATACTAAAAAGTTCTAACGTTCTTCATCTAAGGTTGTAGTTTCATGTTTCTACTAGGTTTCCATTTGCACACAAACATGATTCTATACCATGTCTTACTGATCACATCAAAATCTGATAACGTTTCCTTTTGGTTTAATACAGAGTCTGAGGTCTAATGGCTTAGAAGTACGTGATCCCTGCCACGTCTCAGAATAAAACTCTTAAAAAAAAAATGAAAGAATGAAAAACAGGGCAGATTACAGACAGCCAGTGCCTTGGCCTTCAACCGAAAGTAATATATTTCTTAGCAGACCTCCCAAAAACTCATAGCAAAGGAAATTAAAATGTAAAGTGTCTGTGATTAGTTATGTGAGCCAGAAGTACAATAATCTGAGAATTTCAGAATACAAGAATGACCAAAATAAATTCTGTTGTTTTAACAGCATAACAATGATATCTCATTAAGAGTGGCATCATATTAGTATGTTTTTAATAGGCTGGCATTTATATAGTTGGTAAAAGTAATGAGAAGTACAGCGAGATGTCAGATAAGAGGTAATTGCTTCTACTTTTTGCATAAGCACATGATTTGTGCATATCGGGTATCAAGAACGTGAAATGAGGAAATTTATATACACCCTTTCAGTGTTCATCAGTTGACTGTATTTTAGAACTTAGGATCTAACTCAAGGAATGCATAACAAGATAATAATTTTTTAAAAATAGGCCATGCAAGTTCTTCTAGGGCTAAAATAAATTAACGTAAGCTTTTCTTTTAGTGTTTGGTCGACAGGTAAGATTTTTTCATTGGGCTTGTAAGGGTTTTTCAGCAGTGCCAATAAAGATCTTGGAAAGCAGCCTTCTTTTTCCCACTTTTACACTGTTATTAGGTTATTGACATAGGTTTCCTTGTAAAGCTCGGAACTTTAACTCAATTTTACTTTACGTTTATCCCATTAGATATAAGTTTTTCCCCCCCCAGGGAAGATGATTTCACTTGATTTTATAAGTAATGTGAAGTGGCCGTATTGACAGAAAGTATGCTAATGAGAAGTGGTTAATAATTTTCACATGATACAAAATAATTCTCTCCAGGCATTTTATACTCTTGAAAATTACATGTAAATCTGTCGTGAAAGGAATTAATTTTCACATTAATTTTTTAAAATGTAGCATCAGTGTTTTAGTGACTTGTTTAACTTCTGACTATAATAAGTGTAATTTTTATTTAGTGTGTGATTCTGCTAATAATCTCTACTTTGGATGGATAATTATAGTAAGTTCTTATACTGGCCAATCCACTTGGAAACTTTAATTAGCTTAAGGGAGAAGTGTAGCGAAAGAATGTTGAGAAGCACCTTAACCTCCCTCCTGAGACTTTGTAGAAGATACATTCACTCTCTGAGGCAGTTGCTAATGTGATGTTCAGGAGCCTCCCAGAAGTAAATGATGAAGCCCTTTTGTAAGCTCCATGGTTTTCTCCCTCTTCTCCTGAAGGTCTTCTTTTTCTCCATGTAACAGTTTGTCGTCTTATTCTGTACCCCTTTCAGTAACCATGGTTGTGAATTTGTATTTTTAATTGTATACTTCATTCTCAAGGTAGGTCAGTTTTCAGTAGTCACAGGAACCCTGGGCCTCCCTAATCACACCTGATACAATTGCATCCTGTTCCAGAGCGGGCCTTCAGAAGCCACTTGTAGCTCCAGGAAGCGAGGTTATCACTGCCTATCTATTCAACACGTGTCTACTTTAAATCTATTTTTTAGGGTAGATTTCTCTACCTTTACCACAGGTAGGGGAACCAAAGCCAGTTTCATAGAACAAATGAAACTTTGCTTGTTTTGTTGGTAAAATCAACAGAGAGAATTAGGTTTCTCCCAAAAGAGGCAAGAAGAAAGATTCTTGGACGTATTTCTTTTAGAGAAAGTAAGGTAATAATCGGTAATGAAGCAAGTAATTAAATTAGGCTGGTTGGTTGTTTTATTTCCCCCTCTTCTAGGTAGATCGAGGAGATCTAGAATGTTCTGAAGACTGATTGCCCCGATCTCCTAGGGCTGTAACAGAGAGCTCCCGGGGGTGGCTGCTGGATGTGCCTGCCTCTCCCTGCTGGGGACAAGGTCCTGTCCAGCTCTGCCCTAGGCTTTTGAGAATATAGGTCGGGGCAAGGAGTGTGTTGGGTGGGGTATGGCACAATGACGATTGAAATTTGCATTTTAAAATTGTTCAAATACGTTCTGCTAAACATTTCCAATTTTTTTTTTACAATATAAAATACTTTTTAGGTGCTTTTAAAGTGTAATAAATCTCAGACTCTCCAAATGCACTTGGTCTGAGTGGCTGAAATTCTCTTTTAAATGCACCAGATTGTAGTTTGTCCGCTGCCTACTCTTCCCGTAGAAAAGTTTGTTTTCAGGGTCACTGATTTTCAGTGACTTTCAGGAGGGAAAGCCCAAGACATAAGTAGAAGAAGTTTTCATTTAGATGAGTTCAGACATTCAAAATATCATGAAATTAACAACAATGACAGTGGTTAATAATAATAATAATAATAAGCTATCACTCAGTCCTTACTTTGTGTCAAGAACTTTTCGAAGCACTTAACATAAATTAACTCATTTAATTCTCACCACAAATGCTGTGAAGGAGGTAGTCATCACCCCCATTTTACAGATGAAAAAACAAGCATAGAGACTCTAACTTGCTCCTGATCAAACAGGTGCCGGGTGGCAGGGTCTGAATTGGAGCTTTGTCTGATTCTAGAGTCCATACTCTTACTGACTGTACCCAGTTCCCTATGCTAATCCTAACTGCAAGGTCACAGAGAATCGCTCTTGGACTGAAAGGCTCCTTTTCACTTTCTAAGTTAATAGTTCTTAAGCAGTGCTAGTCTAGGCGTTCCAGGAATAAAGCTCAAAGGTGGAATTCCTTCCTTGCCTTCCCAGCACTTGGATAGGAGGAGGACGAAGAGTAATAGAAAGCCAGCTTCTGCTGTACATTAAGAAGGTGGAGGGCAATGTAGGAAGTACGCAGCCACAGACATCCATCATTATATATTTTCCTATTAAAAATGCTGTCATTTATATAGAGGGTTCCAAAAATTTTATAACGCTTTTGATAGAAAAGAGGTTTTTTTTTTTTTTTTTTTTTTTGAAAGCAGTTTTCTTCCAAGTTACGGGATATGGGTCTGTAGCTCACCATGCTCTCCCCTTTGCCTGCTTGGCTACTAAGAAGCCCAGTGCAGTATTTTCTTCTCCTCGTTCACAACGGCTCTCTTTGTACTAGTTTTTTTTTTTTTTCCTTTCCCTCAGCGCAGCCATCCATCTTGTTCAGCATAGCTTAGTGCTGATTCAGTGATCAGATCGGGCTTTTGCAAATCCATTTTGAAAGCAGTTGGGTTAAAAACAAAATTATGTTTTGAAGATTTCTTCAGTTTGCTTTTAGCTGAGAACCCTGAAACCCGCTTTGAGGCCCTTTGGCAGGCTGTGAGACCCCATTTCACCCATCTAGCCTGTGAATGAGAACACGAAGAACCCTAAGGAAAACCCATGGCTTATGTGTGGTTGGCAAAGCCAGGTGTGCCATGAATGAAACGAAGTCATCACACGCAGGCACGAACCCCAACACACACAGAAAGGAAGTGGCTTTTGGGAAAGTCTGAATAACATGGTAGTTATGGACTGAGCATTTCATCCAGTTACATAACAAAAAGTGACCAATCAAGTCCTTATTAATTAGTGAGCTTACCATAGTTATTAGGTAGGAATGAATTTATTGCTTATGAAATCGAACATGTAACCAGGCATTTTCAAAGATTTAAAACCTCTTTTGGTTTGCGTCTTACCTACAATTTTTGTAGTGCACAATGTTTCTTACAGATAACTTTTCTATAATAAGAATTTACTTTCATGGTTCACAAGCTGCATGCCAGTTTTGTTTCTTAAAATATTCAGAGAGCACTGATCCGTAATTAAAACACCGTCCTCATTTATGTGTTTGCTAAAATCAGAGCTTGAGATCTTTGCTTGGAGGTCGTATGCTCTCTGCAGGCCCCGGAAGCAGCTGCAGTAGGATTTTGGAGATTGCATGTCTTTGTTGGGAGCATTTTCTAAGCAAGAATGGCTGCTTGGGCTTTGTTTTCATAATTCCTGTTGTCATGACTTTTTAAAAAATGACTCATTATACCCAGAGACGGCAAATGAAAAGATATTTCTTTCCCAAAGCACTGTATCAATGACTTCTCAAATTCAGTGGTATTCGAGTGGAAGGCATTACTGGAGAAATGAAAGATTAAATTATAAAAACCAACTTTGGAACCAAGTGGTTTGATAAAAATTTAGTCATTTTTTTAAATGGAAAAAGTGCAACATTCATTAGTCTTCTAAAGTGTCACAGAATGATACAATTTGGTAATACAGAATCTTTGTTTTGCTTTGTTTTGCCTTTCTGCACAGAAACGGACCAATGGCCTCCGAAGAACTCCCAGACAGGTGGATCCAGGTGTGTGATTAAGCCCCATAATCATTTCTCCAGTTAAGTGATGATGAGAGTGTGTGGGAATTGCTGTAGAAATCAGACAGATTGCTGGCCTTTGTTCCTGGCAGTTTGGCGTATAATGTGCGACCAGGAGGTAACCTTCTCCTGGGTAAATCATTTACCCGGGACAGGGTCACATGGTGAGCAGCCATCAGCACCACAGTCTTTCCACAATCAGCAGTTGAGCTGATTATTTGCTTACTGAACAGCCTCAGGGTGCCTAGTTAATGCTAACGTACCCAACACCCTTCCCTGCTCCCGCCCAAACCTGGGAAAAATCAACCAGCAAACTGGCACTTAAAAAATCAACATTTTCTAAGAGGGTGGGGTTCATAAACCAGGCAATTTTGGTACCCTCCCCACTTGGGAAAGTCCTTTTCTTTATTCTATGTCTGTACGATTTCGTTATGGGAGAGTGAATGTAAGGACTTGGTGAACAAGTGTCCTCCCTGGAGACCAGTTTTCTGTCTGCAGAGAGCGTTCACTTGTTCTCTGTTTAACATCATGAGGTTGGCTCTGTCGTTACTTTTGAATAATTATTTTTTCGTCCATTAAGCAATGCCTTCCAGAGTTTAACCAAAAATTTGTTATGTATATGATCATATTATTGTGGGTAAAAAGGTATTCATGGCTAAAGGATTCCAAATATATGAACTCAATGGTAAATCAAGTGGAACATGAAATACAGAGCAGTCTTGCTGGAAAATAATCTGGATTGTATGTTTTGTTTTCTCATCATAAACAGCCTTCACCTCGTTGTAAAGTTTAGCTTCCAAAGTATTACAGCTTTTACCTGAAACCACACCCATGGTAACCATGCCAGTTTATGAGCTGTTTGTAAAGATTTATAGGAGCTTTGTTGCCTCTGGCTAGAAATTGCCTCACTTGTGTCTTGAGATCAGTTTAAATCTTTTAAGTACAAAACAAAATTAAGGCCATTAAAGAAAATAGGGTTTACGTTTTTATTGGTTCTAACTTTCCCAAGACAATGCCCTTTACAGGAGGCTCTGCAGTCATATTTAAAAGTGACTGCTTCTGTTCCATTTAGCAGCGGGTGCATGACTGTGAACATAATACTTTTTCCTTTATTCTGTATAAGTTACAGTATTCTGTTTCTGAAAATTATCTAAACTTTGTATCAATATTATTTTTAAAAATATTTCCTCTTCCATGGGCATTTTCACTTAATCTATTTTTCCCCAAGGAAATGCATTTCTATATTTATAGTGTGTCAGTAGGAGCACATTTGACCATTAACAATGTACTTTATAGCCAAAATCTTTAAGAGCCCTAGATTATTTAAAGGTAGGTATGGTGAATTCATGATTATAAATACAACAAAGTGGACCATAATAAAATACTTTATTCTCCTTTTCCTAAAGATGATGGCTTTCTATGGGTATAACTCTTCTGGTGTTTCTGCTTATTCAGAGTGTTTAGAACCCCATGAAGAATAAACATACACATACAGAAGAAACGGTGCTATATGTGATGTTTGAGGAAAACCAGTGTCTATTTATAGCTTTCCATTAGGTATAGTAAACATATATGGGTGTTTTCTCATTTTTCCACACTTAGAAAAAAATTAGTTGGTGATCTTGCCTGTTGTAGATCCTAATGCAAAAACCATTTCTCCCCGTAGGGTGTCTTTTGATGCTGGGCTTGAATTATGTGTTTAGGGTTGGTTGTCATTTGCATCTTTGCTGCTTTCTGTTGGCACGTGGCAGAGCTTTTTTGCTCACAGCTAACCCTTGCGTGATAACTGTCTTGCTCTGAGTTGTTCCTGATGTAGCTGCTGGTGAGGTTTTCACAGTTGTGTGGGAGATGCTTCACTCCACGGTGTTTTAACAAGGGATCAACAAAGTCGAGACTTCGTCAGTCTGGACAAACTGCTTCCGAGGGGCATTATTTGCCACTACTGTTTTTACCATAAAAGTTGCTTCAATCTTTTTTAGCGATTTTAGTTGACTTCTCCACGTTAACACGCTGTTTGCTTTCCAGGGCCTCAGAGTGGCTGGTAGAGAAACGTGATTAGGAGGGAGGGCATAGCTCAGTGGTAGAGTGCATGCTTAGCATGCACGAGGTCCTGAGTTCGATCTCCAGTGCTGTTAAATAAATAAATACATGAATAAAAATCCAACTGCCTCCCCCCAACAAAAAATAAAAAATTAAAAAAAGAAAGATTAAATAATTTGGGAGGTCAGAGGTAACCACTTCACCAGTACCGAATTTCAGAGCCATGTACAAAGGTCAATGATATATTTTCTCGGT